AAATCTATCTATGGTGAATGCAAAGATGAATAGTAGCTATCGCGATGACTGTTATGAGGCCAGTTTCAATTATGAGCTGAGTATATTCCGACTGACCGAATACCAGTCATCGTAAAGCCAAACAAATCTCATGTCCTATTAGGGTCTAGCATCTGATCCATCGAACGAGAGGTAGTAATTCCGCAGTATCTTTGCCGCAGTAGCGAACTTAGCCCAATATCAATCTAAGGTACCATTTTTAATGATTAGTCGTGGGGTATTCTGCTGTTTAGCCCTATTAGCTTCAAATGACGATGTCAAGCAACAAACGATGTCATTCATAATAAATTAGTACTCAAATGATTGGCACCTTTTCACTGTCGCATTGCGTTGGACACATCGTCAGACTTTTAGCGTTGGAGAAGAATACTGTCAGAAATATGTGCGCTTACCGCAAGCACCTTTGCGGCATATATTATTTTCATACAGTTATCATTATAATTTCGGGTAAGAAATCGTAGAAAAACTATTACCCTGTTGCCGTCAAAAATCGCGTTCTGTGAGGCTTCGGTTGTGCGCACATTTGGCCATGGACTGAACAACAAGGCGTTATACGCGTCTACCTCACTGATCAGCCGTCGACCTACATAAGCTCCTTTGTCAACGAACAGAGAGCGATGAAAAACTGGAACGGAAGCGGGTCTGTTGTCCGATCAACAAAGGGAATTGCTAATTTATGACCTGTCAATCATCGGAGACTTAGCGTCGTTAAATCGGCAATTCCCAAACGACCAGTTCCGTCAGATTTCCGCGTTTGGTATGTATCATGACCAGCAGTGCGTGCGAACAGGACAAGAACAAGTATTCGAGCTTTCGGTACGTTGGACACTAAAGGCTTATTGGCAGCTTCCGACACGAAGCAATACACAATGCATCGCCTTTCTTCTCCTGTTATTACCGTTATTTCCAAAGATGGTTCCAGAACGCTTCCAAAGATCATCACATACCACTAAAAGACCCCTTTTCCATTTTCAAGAAAATATTAATGTTAAGAATCATGAAATTATGGCCGATGTAAGCTGAATTTTTGAAAAAAAGCTCATCAGAAAGGAGGAGTCATCAAGCACATCAGATCAATCAATCTTTGCCGCAGTACCTCAAAGTAAAGCTGAAACGACAGAGTGTTTCGCACTTTTATTAACGTGCAGATAAGCCTACTGTTGTAAGCAGAAGAATGCTACTACCCCAATGGAAATTACGAGAAACGAATGTACTCTCTTTTGCAGATTGAATTCAGAGCAGAGCATAACACACGCTGTAAATGATCATTTGTAAATGACTCTTTCGTGCTGAAACTTCGTGAAAGCGTCTGCCCCTGTTAGGTCAATCAGCTCATTGTTTTCATAAACGACGTTAGCGTACATGGCTTGAGAACGTTAAAGGGTCGTGGTTTCACTAACGTTCTCTAATGTGCTCGGTTTCCCACGGCTTTGCACCCGACTCGATTGCGTAATGGAAAATAACCACAATTAATTCTGCATTTGGAGTTTTGCGTCTCCGCGTGCTTCTGGCCATTGCATAATTCGTCTCATACTTTGTATGTGCAGTAAATAGAGGCAGCGAACTTTTTTCAAAACAGTCGACATACTATTATTAGGTTATTACAAGTTATTAGATACTGAAAGGGTTTGGCAGTTCCCATATATATGAAAATCATCCGATTGGGAGGGAAAATTTACGTCTTGATTATTTTCTGCTGATCAACGGCTGATTCGACAAAGATCATACAGTGCCGAACATGAAACATCAGCCTTCAAACGGATACAACTGATCTCTAAAATTCCTCGGCTAATTCATGGCCACTCTGCCACCATTTTGCCCTGAAGAAATGCGACGAATAAATCGGCCGCCAGTAACTGACTGTGCAATCAACAGCCGAGACAGAACCTTCGATGTAGATTCAAAGACTATGAACAACTATATTTTACCGTTCGAAAATGAGGAAGTAGCCACTTATCAACTTGGGAATCGGAAAACCAGCATATCGTCTACATTGTTCGGCTGCGCACTCCACAATTAAAGAAAATTAAAACTTTCGAAACTGCGGTATCAGGCACCTTAGCTCCCATGACCTTAATCATTAGAACCAACTAAGTTTTTAAATTCTTTGCCAAACTGTGAAGCCGCTGCATTACATAACGTTTAGTGCCAGATTCATGGCAGACAATGCGAATAACTCCTATTCGGAAATTTCCTAGGCTGTTTAGGGCAGGTGACGGACTAATTGCAGTATATGACTTTAATTGTGCTCAAATACTTCTAAAGAATCGTCGCTGTCGACTTATTTAAAGTTGCTGCAATATCTAGATCTCGTATTTTTAATATGCGCGGAAACGTTCTACACTGCTGACTGTAATTTTCAAGTTATTGCCAGCAAAGTTGAAGAAGGACAAACACTTGGAAGGGATAATGGACTGCCGATCAGCCCACAGCACGTCAGCAAGAATTCAATCCCTCAGCACTTGTGTGGAGTCTCGAAATGTCTGGCCACATATTATTCGATATTCCGAGAATTTGTTCAGGTCAGCAACAGGAAATTTATGGCTCGCATCAATGTCTATAGAGCTGGACAGAACTAGCTATAAAATTCTCCCGCATACTCACATTTTCAGCCGCTGTCCAGAATTACTCCCCATACAATTCGGTACTGAAATCTGCTGATACAGAAAACTTTTTCTAGTCACGATTACAGTGCACGTTAGTTGATTAGATAAGTCCGATAACGTGCAGCATTAGTGAGCGCAAAAAGACTATCGATGTTCAAACGCACAGTATACATCAGCATAAAAAAGATTCCTCCAATATCTACCCAGAAACACCGGAATCACATATTGCAGGAACCAAATCATACCCGTCTACAACACCCGTTCTTTCAAATATTTCCATTGACTAGAAGGAAGACGAGAAGAACATGGTGCATACTTTGTGAGATTGAAAAAAGTAAACGACAAAGTGATAGCAAGCTGTGCGACGCCGATTGTCGTTAACTAGTTGTGTTGCAACGGTGCGTAGCGCAGAAAAAGTTGCCACCGGCGTTATGTTGTTTGAGTGCAGACAGCCAAATGGTGATGAAAAAATCTTCTGAAATTTGATTAGCCGAAATTTTAACACTGAGGGCTTACTTCAAATAATCTGTCATAGCGGTTCTGATGAAAGAGTGATGAACCGTATTTAGAGTGTTTTTCAGTATTCCAACAGTTATGGTAGATCCACTGAGCCTGCAAGTCTCACCGTACACTATGTCGTGGCGTGAAGTGTATATGAGATACTCTGCCCTAGATATTTTGATCTAAATGTGCATGTGAAATATTTTATATTGCTTATTATTTGAACACGTGTTGCCGCAAATTAAATGATAAACTTTCAGTAATAACTAATTTCAATAATGTTTCTAAAGACTTTTCTAGAAAGAAGAGAATTGTCGGCAGCATGGCAAATCCAACCAAGCCTCTCAGTAAAAAACGGAAGGTTAGAGTCAACACAAGAGATTTTAGTGTTCATGCTTCCATGCTTGCTTGTAGTTTGTTGCTGATGGCGTATTTCAAGCCGAGTTGAACAATTTCTTCATGCGAGAGCTGGCTGAGGACGGATATTCTGGAGTGGAGGTGAGGAAGACGCCCAGGAAAACGGAAATCATCATCATGGCGACCAGAACTCAGAGTGTACTTGGTGATAAAGGTCGCCGCATACGTGAACTGACCGCTTTGGTGCAGAAGCGCTTCGGATTTCCAGACGACTCTGTCGAGGTACTTAAATTAAAGTTTAATCATCTGCTTAATTCTTGCATTTTCAAACATTGTACCTTCGTGCATGTGAGCATAAATTTGCATGCTTATTCAGGAAGTTTACTTTTAATTTCTAATTTTATTCTTCTTATGCAGTTGCGTCGAAAACGACGTCGGTTGCCGTGCTAGCTTTCTACCTCGATTAGTTAAATGAGTGCTCACTTTGGAGTCCTTTGGAAGTCATGTAACTTCTAAAGATATCTTCCAATCATTGTGACCTAGCAGTCCCCTGCGATCAGGCTTTGCGTTCAGTATGTACTTCGAAAGGCAGATCTGTTACATTCGCAGGCAGTGAACCCACAATCTCTAATGCGTAGCCGGTTCCTTTTTTGGATATTCTAATCTCTCTTACAGCAACGTTTGATATCAATTCGTAATACATCTATTCCTAATATTTACTTTAAGATAATCATTTCCCTCGCTTCCAGTTTTTTGTTTTCATCTTTGCTAAATGCTTCGATCTTCAAACCATAGTGCATTGACCGCTGTATATCAACGGCTTTGCTTTATTATCAATATCTTTGTATTTGCAGAACACGAACTGCTTGCTGCTAATGCCAAAGAACAGTGCCTCTTAACTTTGCTTGTTCATCCGCGGCCAATGTACTCCCAACTTGTACATTTTCTGATTTTGGTGCCTCTCCTCTGCAACTTCAGTGTTAAAGCCCTGACAAATATTGGTCTGGGTTCTGCCAATTTTCAGTCACTTCATCTTCTTCAAGTTGAACGAGAGACTCAGATCAGAATACCTCTGTGTTAGAGTTAAGAACGATGATGACGCAATTCGAGGTTCACGATGGCATATGTTGTCCACTTTTGCAACAATGACAGGTTTACTATTTCGTATTGGTTGGAACACCAGGTGAAGAAAAACCTCAATCTTCACCCCTGCTTACCTTACTCATAACAATTTCTCGAACCTACCATCATTTCGCACTACAAGTAATATAGTAGTTGACGAAAGATCGAACATCCATTTGATTATGCGAATAGTATTTGGTGGGATTCCTTGATGTTTACCAACTTTCCACAAGCACCTTATGTTCAGATTGAGTCAAGCAATTAGGTGAAATCGATTAATATTGCAAAGAAAAATTGGATTCTCATTCTCTTCTTTTCCATTAGCTGTCTGATTGTGAATATCTCGTCCAATGATCTTCTGCCTACCCTCAAGCAGAAGGTAGGTACTGCTCTTCACACACGCCTAAGAGATCCAGGTGTTGTGTAATTCTGTTAATCATAAAACGTCTGAAGAAAACTTAAGCAGAAACGCATAATAGCCTCACTTAAAGTTAGTTATTTGGTTCTGAGCAACGTCTTTTATTCAACACTGAAACTATACCATCTTTAGTTCAGTTATTCCATTTGGGATCTCCTCTTTTATGTCATTTTTGCGGGGAAGGAAACAGATTACTTCCTATGCTTGCCACATGGTGTAGACTCTGCCTGGCGTATAAACGGAGATCAGCACTGCACCATCTGCTGTCAGTTTCATGAAAAAAACGTGACAGTCATGAAATTTAAGGAAGACCGACGTTCCAGTAAGATTCGTTAATGTCAGCCCTCTGTTCATTTGAGACTCCTTAATCAGGATTAGTTGTTTTCCTTCGATTATTGATGCATAATGATGATTCAGCGATTATTAGTTGTTGCTCTGCTATTTTTCAGCTGAATTATGGCGTTTGTCACTTCTTGAAGGGTCAGCCGTCCGGGTCAACATTCATTTTTTATCCAGGTTTAATATCATGCAGTGAATCTGATTTCACAATTGTATCACGGTTTAGTAGGTGGTTTCTGTAGGATCGAACGTAAGAGTGTCGTTTTGATTCAAAACGTATGTTATTCCATGCTTCTTTTTGTCGAAGTAGCTATAGTTTATTCTGAATAGGGTTTTCTTATCATTTTTTGAACAGCCTCTTCCATTATTTTATCCTTTCTCTTTCGGAAAACGGCTTTGGCTTTCCTGAATGACATTTTGATACCTTCTATGCTTCTGAAACTTTCTCCTATAATTCTTGCCCTGATTGCTTTTTCCTTGCAAGCGTTTAGTTACGAAATTTATCCACGACTTTTTTGTCTTTTCTACTGTTCCAATTAGGATATTTTGCAAGCGTTTTACACCGATAAAAGGTTTAATAAATAATATAATAATAAATAATAATAATAATAATATAATCAATAAAAAGTTTAATCTTCCAGCGATCGTGATCTGATA